ATATCTATAGATATATTAGAGAATAAATAACATTTCAAAAATTCTTAAAATTTCAATTAATTGTGTCCCTAAGCTAAAAACGACCATTTTTAGACAATAATATCCAAGGTGAAAAATGTATTCTTAAATAATTAAATGATTTTAGAAATTGCTATTATAAGATTAATATTTTTTATTTAAATGATTAAGGAATATCTTACATAAACTATATAAAATATATATAATAGAGTAAGAAAAAATAGCAAAATAAGGGTTGTTAAGTTTTATCAAATAGTGTTGCAGGATAAGAAAATACATATATTATTAAATTAGAAATGAATATTTAATAGAGAAATTAATATCTCAATTCATAAGTAACCTTTATTCATTAAAATAATAGAAACTTTAAATATTTTTATACAATTCTTTATAGGCATTTTTAACAATGAAGAATATTTAGTACATTTATAAATGTTTATATTAATATATATCACAAATTAAAATATCATATTTTTAAGATATCTCTTGTAATCATTTTTTAAATTCTAAAACAAATAACTTTAAAACTATCATTAATTATTATGTATAAATACTCTTTAAGATTCAAAGACTCAAAAATTGAAGAACAGTATTTGATACATCGAAGCACAACACTCCAATTTCCAACCCTAACTTATGTTACAGGAGGAGGGTTCTTACTTTTGATCATTAATTTTTTTGTTCATTTGATGGGTCAAAGTTATTAAAAAGCCATGAAAAATGGAGCCATTGCATTTTATCTATTATTTTAATACATATTGTTAAGAAAATACAGCAAATTTAGAAAGTACTCGAATTTTGCTTTGCTAATATGTAATATAATCTTTACAGCATTTGAATATGATAATCCCGCTCCTGTTAAGACATATTATGATGGTTATATATTAGGAAGCAATCAAATGTTAGTACATAATATTTTGATGTTTGCTAACAATCTTAAATTAGGAATTGTTGCTAATTTAATTCATACTGTCTCGAAAATATTGATTGTATAGCTTTATTAAGGTAATATGGATATTTAGCAATATGTTTATACAACTGTATTGAGTTTAAGTTTTATTATCATTTAATATGAAATTGAGAAGTAATACAGGAATTCATTTTTTCTGTCTCTCAAAGACAGTACTTGGGGTAATAAATGTGAAAAATAATATATTAGAAATTATGACACCTTTATTTTTAAAGAAACCTTACTTTTTATTTTCTTTCAATAAAGAAGAGAATGCATATTAAGTAATATCCTCATACTTAAAAGAATACTTTGAATCTGAGACTCCTTTAACAACATTTATATATCAATCAAAGGTTTTAGGTAATGAATCCTTATAAGCATACATATAAAGATTGACTGTTAAAAGCTTAGAGAATTGTAATAATTTATGCTTATTCAATTAATATCTCAATGTTGATTATCTTAATAAAAAAGTGGCAATTTCAATAATAGCATATTAATTTGAAAAAGTGATATATGCAATAATTATTGAATCTGAAGATCCAATAAGAAAATAGTAAAAAATGAAATACTTGTAGTAGATTTAGATATATAAAGAATTTTTCCATTTATAAATAATGCCCATAAATAAAGTGTTAGCAACAATATTAAAGGAGAATCATCATCCTTTATTAAGGGATTTGAGAATATCATTAATTGAGATATATTATTAATAGTCTTAAGTTTGTGAATTAAAGTTAGTAACTATAAAGAAGTTACTTCTTAAATGTGTACAATTATTTTAGACACCAAAATATTCAATTAGTATAGTTTGCAATGATGATATTAAATTTATTACTATGAAACATGCATTAATAATATTTCTATTTGAAATACTAAAAAAAAATAATGGATAATTTTTATAAATAAGAATTAGTTAAGTTTAAAATACTTCAATATAAATAATTGGTATGAATCATTTACCTTAATCAGAATTATTTTAAAAAAGTAAAGAAATGTTAATTGAAAGAGTTTTAGAATCTCAGAATTGTATAATTAATTTTATATTTAGGTTTTATGTTCATATTAATGAAAACACCACATTAAAATTTTAATGATTATTTTTACATTTAAGATTCCAATTATTGATAATTGATTATATATTTAATTACTTATGTATAAATATATAACTTATTTATTTCTTATTAAGATATATTATTTATTGCATTATTTCTCTTACTTTAACATTTAATTTTGATATAATAAAAATAAAATAAAATGGACGATTCACAATTAGATTTAGGAGCTTTAGAAGATATTGATCCAAGTTTAGAAGGAGGATTTAAAATATAATTTGATAGAGAAATTCATATAGAAACAAGGTAGATTTTAAATGAATAATAATTAATTAGGGTTTAGGATGCAAATACTGGTCCATAAGAAATAGGAACATTAGAATTGGTTAGAGTGAAAATTTTAGTTTAAGTTTGTTGTGTTATAATTAAATTTAGGGAGAATAACAAGCATTCGATAATTTGAAAATTGAGTTAACTAGTGAAACAGATTTGTTTTTTAATTATAATACAATGTATAATTTAATATCATAATAGCATAAATAAAGATAATTATAAAAGAATAAGAGAAGAATAAAAACTAACTATTGAATATCCTCAATTTTTATAAATGTTAATCAAATTGTTAAACTCATGTCATAAAGAGCCTAATCAGTATAAATTTAAATTTATTAAGTTTTTTCTGTGTATTCTTTATGCAATAAGATGGAGCTGCAAGATTAGATTTTATTGAAAATTTAGAATACAAATTTATGGAAATGTTATCATTAGATTTTAGTTCTGCTTCTGAAGAGACAATTAGATAAAATGTTTCATTTAGATATAATTTAATGAAAGCAAAATTACAATTTGTTTAAAATAGGTATAAAGAAATAAAAAATTTTATTAGATTGAATGACATAGCCTCATTGATAAAATTAAAGAATCCTTCTTTATTAGTATAAATTAATAAAGCATCAGCTGGTGTCAGTTAAAATCAAAGTACTTAAAATGCTAGTAAATACTTGGGATAATCAAAAAAGAATAATACATCAAAATTTGTTTGATTAAGCTAATATTCATATTAACATCACAGGATTAAATATTTTAACTTCTACTTAATTATGACTAGCAAATCCAGAATGTGCTTCTTATATTTATATAATATCTTTCTTATCAAATTCTTTATTACAAACCATACATTTTTTATCTGGTAAACAAATACTAGATATACAACTCATACACATAACATGTCCACAATGTTTACTCATTCCAATTTTTTAATATTTTAATGTTTTATTACATGCATAACAAAATACTTCTTTAGTTTCACCATTATTATCATTTAATTTTGTAGGATATAATTTTTTAAGTTTTATTTCATGATCTCTATTGGCAGGACATCTACAAATATTTTTTGGTTATTCTAATTTTTCTTCTTATTATTCAGGTTAAGATTCAGGAACCCAAAAATTTTTACATGTTAAATCTTTCTTAGACATTGTAAGCATTTCTTTTCCCTTAAGTTACATTTTCTCTAATACTTTCTTTTTTTATTCTGCTTCTAAATTAATATAACTAAAAATTAATTAAATTTTCATAATTACCCTTATAATTTTTCTTCTACTTTAGATTTGAATTATCTTCTTTCAATTACATCATTTTAATAATCTAATTTTTCAAAATTTTATTCTTTTTCTTTTTATTATGCTTCATCTTATTATTACTATTTCTACTCTTATTATTATTTTTTTTGATTATAAGCCGCAATTAGTTTCTCATTTTCTTATTTTTATTTAACCTTATTTCATATGAAAAATAGATTACCATATTTTATATTATACATTCTCTACAAAATAAATGTCCTTTTTCACATGTCAAAGGCTCAATCACTCTACTAATACATAAATAACAAAAATCAAATGGTCTTTATGAATCTGATCCAACACGAGAATTTTATGTACCAAAATCTTTTACCATTTTCCTTTCTGCATATGTAAATACTGGATTTGCTGTATTATTTTTTGAATGTCTTGACATTATAATTAATTTATTATTATTTTATATGTTGTAATTTTCATACTTTATTGAATAAATTTAATTTGAATTCTGGTGTTCTGCTTAAATGACTGATCAAATCTCTTTATCTAATAACATCTCTTTATTCAGGTGTTAATCCCTTGAATTCAAAATTTATTCCTTCTTCTGCTTTATTTCCTATCTATAAATTACCATGAGTTGTATTATAATAAATCCAACCTATATTATTTATTTATATTCCTTACCAATTATTCCTCCAATCAATGCTCCAACACCACTTCTTCTGATACTAAAAAATGCTGCCAATCCTGCTCCATATAATGCATGACCATAAAGATATCTATTAAATGTATGTTCATGACCTCTTGAACAAACTAATTAATAAAACCAAAAAAAGTAAGTAACTCCAAAAATAGCACCAAGAGCTCCATGTCTAGAAGCTTATTTAAGTGCAATAAAAGCAGGACCTGTAAATCCATTTTTGCTAGCAAACACTCTTCCTTTATTGATTGCCAATGCATTTACTGATAATTGCTTAAATTAATAAGTGGCTCCAATTAATATTGCAGTAAGAGCTCCTTTATAAGCATACTTAGCACATGTTCTAATAATATATAATGTATATTAATATACAGAACTTCCCAATGATGCTCTTAAAACATGTCACGAGTAGCCCACCATCTTCTCCACCAAGGTTAAGATCCTTTAACATAAATTGAATGAACATCATTCAATTAAGGTCTACCTGTAATTGCATATTAACTCTTATCTTCATGATTTTCATTCTAATATGGATTTGTACCGAATCCCATTATTTTATATTTATAAAAATATATGCTAATTACAATTACATTTCTAAAACAAATATAGTTTTTTTATAATGAATGTAAAATATGAAGATAAATTCATTTAAATAAGATAGAGTGCAGAATCTTAATAAAATATACATAAAAAGGTATTCAATTTTATATTAAGTTCTTCCATTTAGTATAATATTCTTATTCAATTTTATACTAATTGTTCTAATCTTAATTTTTTTCTTGTCTTTTTTATATTTGGTTAAGTTTTCTAAAGAATTCCAATATGTACTCTTATTCTGTTCCATAAAGTTAACGTACTAAAATTTATTAATTTAAATACTATTTTAAAATAAACTATCTAATGATATAAGAATATCTTATTTCTATTTAGATGAAGTTCTTTAAAGTCTCAATGTTGTTGCAAATATCTCCAATATTCCCATTTCTATCAATTTCATTGTATCTTAGTATTTTATTTCTTTCATAGCATTAGAATAAATCCAGGCTATTTCTGTTTAGACTTCAAAACTGGATGATTTAAATAATTGAAACAATAAAATCATGATATTATTGTTGTCTAACACTCTTATTATCTAATTAAGGTTACCAGCTGTTATATTAGATATACTCCAACAAATCTAAATACTTCTTTTATTATTAATACTTCTCTTTTTAGATCCTTTAATCGAGTATTCTTCAAACGATGAAAAAATACATCCAGAATATCATTATTTAATATATAATCTGTTTAAGAATCATTTCCTGTTAGAATATTACCAATTATTCTTACACAAGGGAATATTATTTAATTAACTTAACTATTTCTCAGTATGGATATAAGTTTAGGAATTATTCCTGTATTGATAATTTATTAATGTGGATCCACTAATTCATTATTTGAATCACTTATATATTATAATGCCCAACAAGAATCTGTCAAAGTTTCATCATCATCATATTCTTAAATTATACAAGAGAAATATTTGATCAATGGTACCTTATATTTCTACATATTTAATTTATAAAAATACTTAAATGGTTGGAGTTGGATTTCTTCTACATAAATTACTAATAGTCCATGAACATAATTTTACTAATTATTTATTATTATTTTATTTAAGTTATTCACTAATTTCAATAAATTTTAATAATCCACCCAATTCAATTATTTAATTTCTAAATTCTATATCCTCTGCAGCTATATTCCCCATTGCCCAACATACTTATTCGATGAGGGACAAATGTATTGAATTCAAATGTTTTAATATACTTGGTATTCCACCATATTTTACAACAATTTGTGTTTATTCATTTGTTCCACTAGATATATTAGTTAAAATCCAAATAGCTTCAAAAATAAAAAGTGAATTAGAATTCTAATCAAGTATTTATATCAAAATTGGAACCAAATTATTTTCTATTATAGATTGTGTAATATCAAATGGATTTTAATTAGTGCTGATTAATTTTCTTATAGCAACAAGACCATAATGTTACTTAACAATATCATCAGATTAAATCATATCTGCATACATATCTATTATATATGGATTAACATTATTTTCGTTTATTTCTTCATATTACTTGAGTATCTTCTATCTAATATTATCCAAAATATATATAGGCAAAATTTATTCATAATTCATTGTTGTGTCTTAATTTTCCTTTAAAATGTAATATTAATATATATAATTATGATGTAAAATTTTAATATTTAACAAATTGAAATAGAAAGTCATCGTATTTTTTAGATAACTTTAAATAAATTATTTTTATTCCTATATTTCTATTATTTATATGAGGAAAATTAAAACATAATATTTCATTCCTTCAATTTTGATCAGACTCATCATCAGTATAGAATTATTGTTCTTATTACAGTTTTTGTTTATCAATAAATAATCCTTATTTAAACTTTTCTTTTAATTACTTTTTTCCTGATTATTAATCTCCCTCTTGAATTTCTGAATGTTAAGTGATTCCATTCAGGGAATGACCAGAATTCAATTACAACCTTTCATTTATTTATTTATCCGAAAATCCCATTTAAGATAAATTTTCTACTAATTATAATACTTCTTATTTTTGAAATGACTATTATTAATTTCTTTTTCCGGCTTTTTGCTATTAGCTTGATGTTTAATCTTTTTGCAAAAAGACTTTAAATGCAATATCTATATTGGCTTACAATTTCTTTTACAGAGGCTAAATTATATTTATATGATTACTTGCTCTTCAATTAGCTTTTCCAAAACCATTTTTAAGGAATTGTACATTCTAAAATAATCTATTTATTTAATCTCATTAATGTTAACATCTTTGATGTCAAATGGAAAATCATCATTTTCAGGTTTCAATATCAAAAGAGGACGAGTTTATTTCCTACTCATTTTTTATTTTTAAATTATATAAATTGATAATATTTATTTAATAATAAATCCAATAGTATTTGTGTATATATATATAAATATATCTATGATTAAAACTTTAAATTAAATAAGGTATGATAAAAATAACATAAACATTAATTAAAAATATCTTATTATCCTCTGTTTCAAAATGTAATATACTCCTTAATATTACCTGAAACGTAATTATTTTTATATTTTAAATTCCAAATTTTGATTCAATATATACAACTTTAAGTAGTTTTTATTTAATTATTTTTAAGTATATAATCAATTTAATAAACTTCTTTTATAGATTCAAATTTCATAAAAATAAAATCTTCTGTTTATGATGAAGAAAATATCATAAAAATGAATATCATATACCTATTTAGTATCTAATCTATTTATTTGTAACTTCAGATATATTCTTATAATACTTCTAATTTTACTAAATTATAGACTTGTACTAATTGCAGAAGTTTATCTTATTAATTAAACTTGAAATTAAATATAATGAGCATTCCTTATACATCTATCCTTCTTCATATTGTACTATTATCCTATATTATTATTCAGATTTATTCTCATATTTACAAAATTTTTATTTGATTGGTTTTCAACAACTAATTTAATATTTTCTGAATGTTTTATCTTATGTCTATTTTGCACAATTTTTTTATATATATCTATTAATAAGAAATTTTATTATAAAATATTTTTAATAAAGTAGAATTTACAACATTTAAATGAACATATTAAGATTAATTTTCAAATATAAAAATTATTAACTATTTTATAAATATTATGATTAATATTAAATAATTTCATAGTTATGTTAAAATCTAAATAACTTGAAGTATGAATTTCTTAAATAATCTTTATTATTTATTTAAATGGATAAATCAATAAAAAATTATAGAATATTAATTGATTATAGCTTAAAAAGATATATATTTTCAGTCATGAATTTTAAAATCATTGCTTTCATTCGAAAGATGGTGTTAATTTTTTTCATCAACTTAATATAAATAATAATATTAATATCAGTCAAACAATTGAAATCATTAAGATCATGTGAAACACGGTTCTAAATCATCATGATATTATGGCAGAATATTATTTAATAATAAATAACACTTTTTTTATTTCATTTTATGGGATTAAATTGAAATATTTTATTTATCAAAAAATGATTAATAGTAAAGTCAAATCAGAATTTTTGTAAAAACTTGCTTGCTGTTCAGAATATGCTTATAGAGAAGATACCAACTATCCTATTAGAAATCAAATGGAAGATTGTATACAATACTCTAAATAAGATCAGCCCATTATTATAAAGATAATTGTTTTTAGGATGGCACTACTTGTCTATTTGCAGTATTTGATGGTCATGGAGGGACTGATGTAGTTGAATACATTACAAAAATTCTGCCAGAAGTAGTTTAATTTAAATATTAAATAAAGACTTTTCTAAGAGAATTCAAATAATTTAATACTTTGAAACCGAATGAATATTTTGAATAAATATTCAAAAAAGTTGATGATTAACTAAAATTAGTTGGGGCTGCAGAAATAGGGGCCACATGTTGCTTAACTCTATTAAGAAAGGAAGATAATAAAAGAAAATGTTATATTGCAAATTTGGGTGATACAAGAGCAGTTATGAATATTGATGGTAAAGCAGTTAGAATGACAGTTGATCATAAAGGAATAGACCCTGNTTATAGACTTGTACTAATTGCAGAAGTTTATCTTATTAATTAAACTTGAAATTAAATATAATGAGCATTCCTTATACATCTATCCTTCTTCATATTGTACTATTATCCTATATTATTATTCAGATTTATTCTCATATTTACAAAATTTTTATTTGATTGGTTTTCAACAACTAATTTAATATTTTCTGAATGTTTTATCTTATGTCTATTTTGCACAATTTTTTTATATATATCTATTAATAAGAAATTTTATTATAAAATATTTTTAATAAAGTAGAATTTACAACATTTAAATGAACATATTAAGATTAATTTTCAAATATAAAAATTATTAACTATTTTATAAATATTATGATTAATATTAAATAATTTCATAGTTATGTTAAAATCTAAATAACTTGAAGTATGAATTTCTTAAATAATCTTTATTATTTATTTAAATGGATAAATCAATAAAAAATTATAGAATATTAATTGATTATAGCTTAAAAAGATATATATTTTCAGTCATGAATTTTAAAATCATTGCTTTCATTCGAAAGATGGTGTTAATTTTTTTCATCAACTTAATATAAATAATAATATTAATATCAGTCAAACAATTGAAATCATTAAGATCATGTGAAACACGGTTCTAAATCATCATGATATTATGGCAGAATATTATTTAATAATAAATAACACTTTTTTTATTTCATTTTATGGGATTAAATTGAAATATTTTATTTATCAAAAAATGATTAATAGTAAAGTCAAATCAGAATTTTTGTAAAAACTTGCTTGCTGTTCAGAATATGCTTATAGAGAAGATACCAACTATCCTATTAGAAATCAAATGGAAGATTGTATACAATACTCTAAATAAGATCAGCCCATTATTATAAAGATAATTGTTTTTAGGATGGCACTACTTGTCTATTTGCAGTATTTGATGGTCATGGAGGGACTGATGTAGTTGAATACATTACAAAAATTCTGCCAGAAGTAGTTTAATTTAAATATTAAATAAAGACTTTTCTAAGAGAATTCAAATAATTTAATACTTTGAAACCGAATGAATATTTTGAATAAATATTCAAAAAAGTTGATGATTAACTAAAATTAGTTGGGGCTGCAGAAATAGGGGCCACATGTTGCTTAACTCTATTAAGAAAGGAAGATAATAAAAGAAAATGTTATATTGCAAATTTGGGTGATACAAGAGCAGTTATGAATATTGATGGTAAAGCAGTTAGAATGACAGTTGATCATAAAGGAATAGACCCTGAGGAATAGGTTAGAGTTAAGTAATATTAAATGATTTAATTATGCTTTTTAAAGGCGGGAAGGAGGCACAATTGTGAGAGGTAGAGTGATGGGCTAATTAGCAGTAACAAGAGCATTTGGAGATCTAGATTTAAAAACAGTAGGTGTTTCAGTTAAACCAGACTTAAAAGTTTAAGAAATTACACCTTAATGCAAATATTTAATTATGGCTTCAGATGGACTTTGGGATGTTGTAGATGATTAGGTATAGTTTCATTTTAATGTTAAATTTTCTTTAGAAAGCAATTGACATAACTAAAGGACTTAAGAATTCTGATGAGATGACTAAAGAGCTATTACAGTTTGCTTTGAAAAATGGCTCAAGAGACAACATTAGTATTTTAATTGTAATGTTCTGATTTATTATAAAACAAGTATGTAACTAATCATTATGTAAATGAACTATTTAAAGAATCATAAATTAAACATTCTTAAATAGTATCAACTTATAACTATTGGATAATTCTTATTTTATTATTATTATTATAACTTTAATTACAATAATAAATAATTAATCTCAATAAATTTGCTACCCTTCATTCTCTTTTAAACTTATTCTAAATCTTGTAGTAAAATTAAATGAAATTGTAAAATTTATATAAAATTTATTAATCAATAAAATCTTAATATCTTATTTAATTTAGTATTTTTATATTAAAAACTAAATCTTTTGGCTCTACTTATCTTATTTATATTTCTATATTGTTTGAGTCAAAAATTAATATAAAAAGTAGAACTAAATTAGTTATCATATATTTAATTGAATTCATCAATTATTCGAACAAATTAATATTACTATTAATACTGTAGTATAATTAAATGATAATTTTTATAAATATTTATTACAAGAAGTTAGGTTAACAAATATTTGTATAATTACTAATTTAATTATAATTTGAGTTAATATTATCAAAGATTCTTAAAATGTATAATAAATTTATAATATATATTATAGATCACAATTTAAGTAATTATCTAAAATCTGAAATAATTATTGGCATTTTTAGATCTTCCAATTTAATTTCATTACCTATGCTTTTTATTTCTACATAAACATAATAAAATAGTTCATTTGAATCTAATAAAAGTGAGATAAATCCTATGATTAATGATATAAAAGGAAAATCAACTGGAAAATAAAAAAAATAAATCCAAAACAGATAAAAGTTTTCAAAACAAATGATTGTATATGGATAATTTTTATATTTATTTAACAATGTCAATATTATAGCTAATGGCAAATAAAGGAATGATAATTAAATTTAAGCAAAACATTCAAATAAATATCTAATCTTGTGATATTTTTATGATTTCTTTTATAATTATAATTATTTATGTCCATTATTTAATAAAATTAATATTAAAATAGCAGCATAGATATAACTAAAATAATTAAGTTTATATCCAAATAGAACATGTAATATGGAATCCTTAAATTAAATAAATGTAAATATATCTAATTCTTATAAATTTCCTATCAAAATGTTCAAGAATACCATTCCTAATTTAAAACTATTGTCTACTAAAGTATTCAATTTAATCATAGCTTTGATATATTCAAAATAGTATTATACTAAATATATAATAATTACTAATGATATTCTTTTGAATACAAAAATGCTTAGAATTTAAAGCAAAAATAGAATTAGATAAATGTAAATAATTGCTTCAGCAATAGATTTTTCAACATTAAATGAGCCTAATTAAATAAAATTATTAGTATATATTTGAAATAATGTGAGATATAGTATTAATTGTTCTATTTAATAAAATTTAGTTCTCACATTATATTATTACTAAACTCTTAGAATTGAAACTAAAGCTATAAATTACCAATTAGATATAAGTAGAAACACAATTGATGAGAGTATAATTTAAACTCTATATATTTAATCTTATTTAAGTCTAATTAATCGATCATAATATGTAAATGAAATAAAAATAATAATAATGTGATACTCTTTAATAAAGACTTACAAATTTTCATAGAAGTTAAATTATTGTTCTACACAAAAAATATCAACATAAAAAGTATCACAACTACTACCAAGTTATAATATATGATCATTATTTCCTTTTATACATTAATTGCTAAAGCCATCAAATCTACATTAATGAGCCAGAAATGATTTATGATAAAAAGGGCGAAATGCCATTATAAGTAATTCATCTTCGCTTTATCTAATATAATAACCAAATTTTATTTCTTGTTATTGTATTTAAGTAAAACCATCTCTTATTTCAAAATATTAATGCTCAATAATGCATCCAGATGCTAAAACTAAAAATTGAAGTTATGGATCATCTATTTCTAATAAATTGTGTAAATAATTATAATCATTAAAACATTAATGAGGAAATTTTATATGAATATCTTCAAATGAAATTTTTTGATCTAGTTAATTAAAAATGTCTTGATCATTTTATTAATCAAATTATACTAATTTCTGGTATAATTAATATTTCATACTTATGATAATTACAATAGTAATCCCTAAATTTCAAGGAATGAAGCCTATATGTTCTGTGTATATATAAGTAAAATTAAAATAAATAACATATATTAAATATTTCATAGAGTTTAAGGATATTTATAAAAATATTAATATTATCATATTATATTTGATTTGATTAAATTATTTTTTGATTTTTTTTTAGAAATATATGATCAGGATCAATAATATTTACATTTATTACATTTGAATGATAGAAATCTTAATGATTTTAACTTATTTGATTGTATTATTTCAGATATTTAATCTAAATATTAAATTTAGATATATTATAATCATAAAAGATACATTAAATTTTTTGTTGTTATTATAAATTGCTATAAATGTTATAATAATTATAAGAAAAGATATTAATAAAGTTGTAAAGTAGACTTAATTTGTTTATCTATCTTATTTAGAAATTTACACTTATTAATATTGATTCATCATATATATCTTATTTAAAATATTAAAAAATCATTAAGATGAGCAGGTTAGAATTTAATAAGATACTTATTACATTAGAATTATATTAAAAATCTTCTTGAAATTAAAAAGAGTTGTTATAAATTAGATTTATTTTATTCATTAATATTATTATAGATGTTCCGATCCAAGAAAAGTTCAACAGTTCCCATCAGAACAAAGGATAAAAGTACTCTTTTGGCTCCTTGTATTAATTGTGAAGAGTTTATACCCTTTGATAAAATCGATTATCATGTTTAGATTTGCAATTAAGTTTCTAATAAAGTACTTAAATATACAGAATCAAATGTATTTTTTGAAGAGAATGATTTCAAACTAAGTAAATTAAAAGCTAATTTATAAAACAAATGTTATTAACACACTCAAAGATTATGTAGGATTTGTGAATTGATTTCTTCAATCAATACAATTGGTTGTGTAGAAAAGGCTTCTTTAAAAGAATTTGAAAAAGAATTACTTAATATGAGTTAAGAACCAAGTCAATCTATAAATTAATCCTTATATATTGAGAGAATACATTCACTTGTTTTGTAAAGGATAAGTATCATTCAAAACTAATTAAACCTTAAGACCATCAAACCTACATAATCATAATAACACTTCTATCCTCAATAAAACACTGCTTTCATTTAAAAAAATTTCAAAAATTCAACAGGTTCAACTCAAACAACTAATAATAATAACTTATAAAATTTAATTCAAAATAAATTGGAATCATCTCAAGTATTCAATTGTCTAAATAAACTTAATCAATGTTAATCACCAGATCCAAGAATGACATATATTACTAAATTTTCCTAAAATAGTCCAATATCACAATATGGAATAACATAATAACAATAAAAAAGTGAAATCTTAACACATATTAGTGAATAATATGCTGAAAGTATTGATGAATAATATAATCCAAAAACATTTGCTTAGAGATGTTTCTATTCAAAGGTTCTAAATCTGAAATTAAATTATCCACAATCTAATCCATCTTAAAAGATTCCTGTGTCTGTTTTATGGAAATAAGCTGAGAAAAATAAAATTAAACCAGAAGATTGGGAATTATTTATTAGAAATTGCCTTGATAAACCTTTCCAAATTTTAGATCCTCAAAAAATTGATTCTCATTTTTTTAATTCTTCTTAGATCAAATTCAAAAAATTACAATGATTTGAAATTAAATATATCTATATAACAGACATTTATTTATAATTAATGAGGTAAAATAGTGTCTTTAATTAATATTAATAATTGAATAAAATATACTCTATGGGAACATAAAGTCAAAAATAATAATAACCAAAACCTCAAGACAAATATTCTCAAAATGGATAAGAATAATTATAACCAAATTAAGACAGAAACGAGCATAAAAACAATAATCGTATGATAAAAATAATTATTCTATTAGTCATCTAGCATGTTGATGAAAAGGATGCTTCTAAATAGTAATAATAATTATAAGAATAATCAGAAATCTCAAGGGAAGTTGATGAATTATAGAAAGATGTGATAGAAAAATTAAATGAAGTAATGTATATTTTGAAATTAGTTGGATTTAGCTATGGAAGAATTCATAAATAAAATAAATAAAAATCCCTAATAAGATTAAGAGTGATTCATAATTCATTTTAATATGAATTGAATAATTTAAAATATTATAGTTTAATTATTATATTCAGGCCATGTTTAATTTTATCTACAAAGATTATTTATTTAATTAAAAAATAATGAGTATGTATTCTAAATTATGATAACAATAAGTAAATGTAAAAATATTTATATTATAATTATATATTAATATATTAAATCAAATACAATAATTTACATTAAAAAATTGAGTAACAATTATTAAATGGAAGATATATGATATAATGTATATATATATATATAAATAAAGTTATTTGAATATTTACTAAAATGACATTTAAATTAAAGATATCAATTATATAATAGATATATAAAATATTTGATTATATAAAAATGAAAGAGAAGTTAACTATTTAATCGAAGTACATATAAAAGAGATATATTTTATAATTAGATATTATTATTAAATTTTCTGATCATTTCCTTTAAGAGTTCTTCAGATGGCATAGGTAATTTAATTAATTATTATCATCCTTTCATACCTTACCATATATTTTTATTATGAAGCTAATTTTTAGATGAACAAGCAAAATTAGACTTATATAGTTAACGATTATTCCAGATCAATCCTCCATGGATATCACATAGATGAAAATAGAGAGAAAAAGGGAGGTATATCTTAAAGCTCAGAGTTGGGTGGAGGTATATTCAATAGTGTAGAAGTAACTATTAAGAATTAAAATATAGGTTGAATAGAGGAAACCAAAATAAGTTCTGTAAAAAGAATATGATTCAAGGAGTATAAGATATGCAAATGAAGATTACTCATATTTGGCAAATTTGTTGTTAAGCAGATTTTCACAATTAGACACAGCAGCCTCTATAGCTACTCAATACCCATTATTTAAAATGTTAAGAGGTGTTACCAAAAAATTTATGTTTAATGAGTTAGAAATCATATTTTTTTTGCACACAATTGAAGAATAGAAATGGAGATATGATGATTAATTGATATCAGAGTTTTAACCATATTTTAAATAAGATTTTCTGAGCAACTAAGAAGTAAATTAATTATAAAAATAATTTAAATTAGAATTAGAATGTAGAAGGATTCAAAAAATTATTATTATTTCTAATTTGCTGTGGATATACAATTAAGTGTTTTTTCAATGATTCTAATGATTAAGAAATAATTTTAATAACTGATCATATCTAATAATATTGTTAAAAAGAGTAATATATAAATTAAATAATAGTTTTAAAAAATCATTATTAGAATTATGGAGATAGAAATACATGAATTGTTCATTAAAGATTGTACCAAGAGTTTTGAATAAATTATACAATAAATTGATAAGAATACCAAAAGATGGAAAATAAGAATTTCAATAAGATTATAATGCATTAGTAGATCAAATAATTTAGATCTCTCCTGCTTACAATAGTTAAGAAGGAAAATTTATAAAATAAGAAGTTAAACCTATTTAACAATAATAATAATAATAATAATAATAATAATAATAATAATAATAATATTAATAACCACAACCAACTATTAACTTTAGTCAATAGACTTAGTAATCCTATTAACAACAGGTTTAAATGAACACTTCTGGTATATTTATGTAATATTCATCACAATAAATGGCTCCATAATAGACTTAATAACCTTTTATTTAAACTTACGCTACCTTTAGTAATTCAGAGTTCTTAGATTCAAATATTAATGAAAATTTATTTCTAAATTCAACTAAGATCAAAGAGGAACAGTTGCTACCTCCACCACCACCATTATTGACCTAATCTTCTAATTATAAAATACAATGATAAATTAAATTAATTACATCAAATTTAATATTATAAATTTCATTCTATCAAAGTTCAAAAATATAATAATGGTTTTGCAATCTGACACATCCAAATAGAAAAAGATTGTATCCAAATTTTGTCTAAATTCTAAATTTTTAAATAATAACACAAACTTTTAATCATGTTAATCAAATGGCAAAATCATATTTCAACATATACAAATTAGAAATCTTGTTATTATTAAATTTTAAAGATTAAAATAATAATTTATCTTATTAAAACATGAATTAATAATTTAAAGCTTTAATTTTAATGAATGAAATAGGAATAGTATCAATTTAAATAAATCTACACAATCACATTTTTATAGATAATATTCAAAAAATAAAAATACTTTCATATAGAAACTTCAAAACCAAATAAAATTACTTTAAAATAATTCATATAATTTAGATATTAAATTCAATTTAGATTTATTTTATTTATTTCTTCATCCTAAAATTTTAATCTTAAAGAGATTCTCATATAGATATATAAATATTCTCATATTTGTTTTAAGTAAATTTGATATTTGATTTATTAGTCATAATATACTGTTAAAAATTCACGATACTTCTTAATAATTCTTCTAGAGTTTATTATATAAAAATGTGTTTTGATTGATGCATTTTCATAAGTAATTTGAAATTAGACATTAATATTTAAAATATAAAAAAAACAAAATGTTATTGTTAAAATCAATAATCATATAATAATAATTATTTTTACATATTTATTTATTATTTTATATATGTCTTCTTGATTCTAAACTTGAATTTGCATTTCTAATATATTTGAAATAAATATTATATATATTT